AAAAATGAGTGTTCCGTTTAAGGCTAAGTATCCTCTCAATGCACTGTAATTTGTGGTATTAAAATTCATAAATATGGCAATATTTGAAGGGGCTTCTTCTGAAAATAAAATATCTAAAAAGGTATGTCCAACAACACTTTCATGTAACTTCAAAATTGGTAGACACTATCTTTCTGTGTAAATTTGCTTCTCATAAGTAATTGAAAGATCTTTTGTGTTTCATTATTTCTTTTGTAAAATGAAATGCAACATAGGTGTTATTATCTACTCTTAGAAGAATAAGTGGAGGAAAAAAAGAGATTGTTTGGCTTTATAACCTCAAATCATCCATATTTTAACTAAAATACCACCTAAATAATAATATTTTAAATGCCTCCAAAATCTTCAACATAACTAGAACCCAGCCCCCCCCCCCACCCCACCCACACCCCCCACCCCACCCCACCCAATAGAATACATAATCTTTGTTGGCTAATTGCCCACAAACCCAGGAGTCTATGAAATTATCGATCACATGCATTATATTATATTATATATAAAGTAAACATAATTGTCTTTCAGAATTTAAAAGATAGAATTACGCCTTTAGGTATCCAAAAGTTGCAAATGTTTATAGAAAACTCCTAATTATTACTAAACACCAAAATTTGCTTAATTTATAATTAAATGCTAAAATTTGCATAAACAACCCTAAATCTTTATAATTTCTTAGAATAAATCCCAAACTTTGTAATTTCATAAATTTACAAAGAATCCTAGAAGCTTATAAATTTATAGATTTAACCCCAATGAACTTCATAAAACTGAACCTCATAAAACTATATCCATGTGCAAAGAACGTGCACTATACCAATATTATATAAATAGATTCAAGCTTGGGTAAAGGCAAGTCTTGAAATATAAACAAACTAAAATATTTTTTATCAATTTAATAATTTCTAATAATAAGATTTATTTATCTCTATTTTTAATAGAAAACTAATATCGACATCAGATTATCGTAATAGCGAATCACGTGTCTTACATATATGTTTTTGATCTATATATACTCACACTTCTCTTATGAATGGAAACATGCAAATGATTAGTGCAAGTACATGCATAATTCTTGTTGTTAGCCATGTTGGTCAAGTTAGGGGCTGTTTGTTTCACCCAATTTATAGAAAAGGATTAGTATTTGGGGTCTGACAGTGGCAAAAATATAATTTTTGAATTCTTTGTGGATCCTATTCTAGAGTTTGGCTCAGAAAAAATTTAAAGATTACAAAATCCATAAAGTAGCAACAGTAAGAGTTTTTTATAGAAACCCAAATCGGAGCTTGTGCAGCGGATTTGGGCGAGATTTCTGACAGCGGGCTTCATCTTCGTTTCCGATTCCTAATCCTCACGACCACGGGCCCTAGATCTGGAATCGTTGTTCTGCTCCCGCCTCATCGCTCTCTTCTTCGCGCCTCTTCTCCCGCCCTTCGTCTTCTTCTACTTGCGTGGTCGGGGCTGTTACTCGAAACCCTAGATTCTCCCAAGGCATGATTTCTTGGTTGATTTTGTGTGTAATCGGCTTCTCCCTATCTGATCCCGCCTCATTTTGCGCCGTGATTTCTTTGATTTGTTTTCCACGAGCTTGTTGGTGGGTTTCTTGCCTTTGATTCTTGGTGATCCCTTCTCAAACTTGTTCCGGTTCGGGTGGGATTGTTGGCTACGGTGGGTTCTTTGGCTTCGGTGGGTTTGTTGCTTGAACGTCGGCATTTTTTCCCCTCTGCAGATAGGTATAAGATTTTGCACTCTTTTTTAGACTTATTTCTTCGTGCTTGATGTGATGAAAGGAATCTGTAGAATGATAATTTTCTTGATAATTCATTACATGTATAATTACCAAAAAATAGGGTTATGTTTACTAAATTTCAGTTAATTGTGTGAAATAGAATGCATGATATTTGTGTGAATGAGTTGTTTTTTATATATGTGTTTACCAAAGAATGTGAATGCATGAAAAAGAATAGGGTTAAGTTCATTACATGAAAATCCACCGGGTAGTAGAATATGTTGTTCTTGATAATTGTGTGAGATAGAATGCAACATTAGTTAAAATAATTTTCATTACAATTAGATTTCTTGCTTTTGAAGAAATAAATATTTGTATCAATTATCTAATTAATTTTGACAAGAAATAAGTAGACATCTTAAGCTATAACCGTATGATAATTTTAAAACGGATGTAGATGGATATGGAAGATGAGGAAGAATTAAAGAGGATGTGTGCTAATACAGCTGTCTGCGCCGTGGTCACTTTGGTAACATGTATTTTGAGAATGCGTGCTAAGCGCAAGAGAATATCAACTTGTACGAAACAAGAAAAGATCAGAAAAATATATTGTAGAGAGGCTCACTTCAGACGTGTACTGGAGGGCTATCAAGATAGTTGCCGATCTTATATTAGAATGAGACCGAGAGCCTTTTTTAAACTTGTTGAAGTAATGAAAGCAAACGGTTTATTAAAAGATACAAGACACGTTCAAGTTGAAGAACAGCTTGCTATGTTCCTAAGTATTGTTGGGCACAAAACTAAAAATAGAATAATAAGAACTGAGTTTATAAGATCAGGGGAAACAGTTAGCAGGTATTTCAATAAAATCCTGCAAGCAATGAATGGATTACGTGATCGGTACATGAAGCAAGCCCCAAAAGAAGTTCCCGAGGAGATTGCAAACAACTCAAATTATTTTCCTTACTTTAAGGTAAATTAAATACATATAGCTTAACAATTTTCCAAATAAATCACTTTTTATTCAACTATGTATAATTTATAATTTTTTATAGGACTGTATTGGTTTGATAGATGGCACACACGTCGACGCGGTATAATTTTTTATAGGACTGTATTGGTTTGATAGATGGCACACACGTCGACGCGGTGTTACCTAGTGACATAGTTTTACGGTTTAGAGGGCGAAAAGGGGTCACCCAAAACATCTTAGCAGCCTGCACCCCCAATAAACTATTTACTTATGTCTTGGCTGGCTGGGAGGGGGCAGCAAATGATTATAGGGTATTACAAGACGTCCTGTCCAGACCACAGCCTTACGGGCTTCGAGTTTATGATGGTATTCATTCTCACTTATGCACATTATGAATAATATATTAAATACTTAGCAATAATTGAGATTTTAAAATACTGTTCAATTAATGTAGGTAAATATTACCTATGTGACGCTGGATACACCACAATGCCAGGTTTCATATCCCCGTATCACGGTGTCCGATATCATTTAAAAGAGCACACCGGTAGGACACCAAAGAATAGGAAGGAGTTGTTCAATTTAAGGCATTCATCTTTAAGATCAAAAATTGAATGCACATTTGGGATACTGAAGAATCGGTTTAAAATTCTTGTGGCGAAGCCGAATTATCCATTTCCCACTCAAGTGGACATTGTACTAGCGTGTACTGTGTTGCACAACTTTATTGCCTTGGAGGATCCGGATGATGATATTTTAAATAAAAATGTTAAAATTAATAAAGATACTGGGGAAGAGACAAATGAAGACGATTCAAATGTGGTGGACTATACTCAAAGTGGGACACAAAGAGAGGATCGAGATGTTAGAAATGAATGGAAGGAGATGCGAGATCAAATTGCTTGGGCGATGTGGGTGGATTATTGTGCAAAGTACAATGGTGGTAACACAATGGAGAGCGGTTTAACTTAGTGTGGTATTTGTTCTATGGCTATGTAATAACTTGGTGAATTTTAAAATACTGTTCGCATCGATATTGTTTATTGTTTCTTTGCTTGTACCAAAACATTACTACTTTTATCGGTTGCTCTTTTGTTATGTTGTTTGAGAAATATCGTCGTTTCATATATTCCTTGATAAATGCATACATATCCCATATTGTTTTATATTTCTTTATTGTTAATATGGCTATGCTTACAAAATATATTAGGTTTGGCTAACAATCCGACAAATAAGCAAAGTGTGCCTTCTCATTCGAATGCAATGCCAAATCCTACATCAGGGATTAACATGAACTACATGCCTGTTCGACCACAGCCATTTACTTCACCTCCGCATACATTCTCACCATTCCCACCATACGATGGTAATTATGGTGGGATGACACAGCCGCCAATGTCATATATGAGCTTGTTAGGCAGTCCACAAGGTTTGCTATTTCCCATAGCCAGTTCTCAAAGTAGTGGACCTAATCAATTTTCACTGAACACTGGTGATTCAGGTGGAAAGGATATTCATGACGTTGATGGTGCTTCACCATTGAAAAGAGGGAAAAGATTAGCCCATAAAAAAAAGTTCCGTGTGCCAGGTTGAACTCAAGAGGCGTGGCTAATAAGTTTTGGCTTCCAGAGCACGATGATGTGCTTATTCCTTATCTTGCAGATTTAGCATTGGATGGCCTGAAGCCAGACAAGAACTTCAAGGCTGAAGCTTATAAAATGGTTTCCATGAAAATCAACATGCAATTCAGGACTGATTTCACTCAGCTTCATGTCATTAACCACTTGAAATGTTTGAGGAACAAATTCAATGACATGAAGGCTTGCCTTGATATAAGTGGTGCTGGGTGGGATGAAACAAGTAAAATAATTACATTGGATGATGAAACCTTAAAATCTTGGGCCCAGATATAACAAATTCAGCATCTATATTGTCGCCAAAATTTAATACATTTGATTCACTACTTATAAGTATTTGTTATTGCAGGACAAATCCAATTCTAAGTACAAAGCGTACATAAACAAACCCCTTCCTCACTTCAAAAATTTACAAGTTATCATGGGTGATGATCAAGCCAAGGGTGATTTTGTTAGGCCCGTGTACGCTAACATTGGGTCTAGTAGGTCCATACCTATTCCCGATGATGATTGCGAGATTCTAGAGGAGAGTAAAACTGAACCACAGTCTGATGCTTACAACTAACCACATTCTGGTGCTGTTAACCAACCACAACCCACTAGATATAAGACTAAGAGTAAAGACAACATGACTTCATCATCTAACAAAAAAACCAGAAAATCTAATCGTGAAGAGGAAATGATATGTGCCTTTGTTGAGTCCATGTCTCAGTCAATGAGAAATCAACACGTTATTCACTGGACTGAGCAGTTGGCTGCAGTGTTGAAGGAACATAGGTCTGAATATTCTGAGGAGTTCCTCGATATGGTTTTAGACCATTTATATGACAATGAACGTGAAGCTAGGAGGTTTTTCATAAAATCCAAGGAAGGTCAGCAGAGGTACATCACAAAATTAGTTAACGACCAAGGTTAGCCGGATAGCTAGTTTGTTGGGTTTCGATAATATTTTGATGGATATTGTTGTGTTAATTGCAAACTATTAATGTTGCAATATATATTTTTATTATGAAGAACATCTATGTCGTTGTGGGATTGATGAATTGGTATATTTGCAATCTTTGTTGCAGGTAAGTATGGTCGTGGAATGATCAATGAGTTCTTTGAATTTTGCCTTTGCTTTTGATATCAGGTAAATGGGTTTGTTGCTTGGGTTTACTGATGTAGGCTTTTACATTCTGTTGCTTGGGTTTATTGCTCCATAGTCACACGTGGTTGCTGTGGGTTATGGGTTGTTATTTGGAGCTTGTGCAGCTCCTTGCTGCTGCTGGGGTTTATTGCTGTTTTGTTTTGAGCTTGTGTAGCCCATTGCTCTGTGGGTTTGTGCCTGTTATTTGGAGCTTGTGCAGCTCCTGCTGCTGCTGGGGTTTGTTACTGTTTTGTTTTGAGCTTGTGTAGCTCCAATCTTTGTTGGGTTTGTGCCTGTTATTTGGAGCTTGTGCAGCTCCTGCTGCTGCTGGAGTTTGTTGCTGTTTTGCTTTGTTGAGTTTGTGCCTGTTATTTGGAGCTTGTGCAGCTCCTGCTGCTGCTGGGGTTTGCCAACTATTTTGTTTTGAGCTTGTATTCGATCCTTGCTTTGTTGGGTTTGTGCCTGTTATTTGGAGCTTGTGCAGCTCCTGCTGCTGCTGGGGTTTGTTGCTGTTTTGTTTTGAGCTTGTGTAGCTCCTTGCTCTTTGGGTTTGTGCATGTTATTCCTCAGTTGTGCAGCTCCTGCTGCAGCTGGGGTTTGTTGCTATTTTGTTTTGAGCTTGTGTAGCTCCAATCTTTGTTGGGTTTGTGCCTGTTATTTGGAGCTTGTGCAGCTCCTGCTGCAGCTGGGGTTTGGTGCTGTTTTGTTTGAGCTTGTGTATCTTTCATGCTCTTTGGGATTGTGCCTGTTATTTGGAGCTTGTGCAGCTCCTGCTGCTGCTGGGGTTTGTTGCTTGTTTACCCCCTATCTGCTGGGTTTGCTGCTATTTTGTTCAGAGCTTGTGTAGCTCCTTGCTGCTGGGTGTGTTGCTGTTTTGTTTTTCCTTGCCTGTGGGTTACTTGCTGTTTAGTTTTGAGCTTGTGCAGCTCCTTGCACTTGATATGTGGCAATGATGATGATCAGCGTTTACTGAGAATGCAATCTAACTTACATCGTTTATTATATCCAGATGAGGCAAAAAGCGATGAGATTGCAGCCTACATTGAATTGACAATGTCTAGGCGAGGCAATTTGTCCTTATAATGCAATCTGTAATAAACATGTAAGTTATAGGTGGGACAATCAATTATGACAAGTTGATCTATTACTGAGCCATACAATATCAATTAGAATTTGTACCCAATTCAAACAAGAGTTTTCATTACATCCTCAATAGTTTTTGCAAGTACAGGTACATGACATGAAGTTTGTAATAATTAAAATAATACAAAAAATTGCTAATAAAATTGCAGAAATTTTCCAAGCTAGTAGTTGATTTTCGACAAGTCTCAATTCTTTCTTCAGCTTCTTTGATTGTAAAATATATTTATCTCCGTACCTATTTTCTTTGACATATTGGCTTCCTTGGTTGCTTGATGACTCTCCTCTTTCTTCAACCCATTCAAAAAAATTACATTCTTTATTTGGGAATTTTGCACACCCCAATAACACCTTCCCTTATTTTTACCATTCTTGCACACTTTCATCGGTGTTCGGAGATTGCAGTCGCAATAAACTTCATAATTATGCCTGCACTCTTCTGATATAATTTTGATGTCGGGGCAGCAAATTGAAGACAATGGGAATTTTAATTGCTGAAAAATGAGAATGCTTGGTTTAATTTTGAGGCCTCAAGGTGAATTTATAGCCACCATGCCCCTGAACTAGTCGTTGCTACAGTGTTTTGCATAAGAATTTTGAGGTGATCTGGAAATAGCCGTTGCTACAGTGTTGCTACTTTGAAATCTGAAATTTGTGGCTTCAATCCGTTGCTACAGTGGTTTTTTAATGTAAAATGGGCTAGCCGTTGCTACAGTATCGATCCCAAAAAAAATGTCTTTTTGAACCAAACATGGTATTAGGAATTGGACCAATTCTATAAAAGTGAGATTCCTAATCCTTTGGGTGAAACAAACATTGAATGCAAAAAAAATGGGATTCCATAAAACTAAAACTTGTCTATAAATTTTTTATGGATTAGGTTGGAATCCATAAATTAAATAGGATTCCTAATCCTATTCCTAGACCTTGGTGAAACAAACAGCCCCTTATAGTTAGAGATGTTCGCTTTTAAGGTCAATAGTTGGCTTCAATTGACGTCACACCTCAATAGTTTTTTTTAGGGTTGGATTGACCATGGCCTGCCTGGCTTGTAGCATATTTGTTTCTTTCCTCAAATCTTCCATACTTAATATTAGTCCCATCAAATCTTTCACATTTGAAAGCAGTCCTCCAACTCTTCATATTTTGAAACTTATCCCCAAAATCTTTGAAGAATTTTGAAATTAGTCCATTTGTTATGGGGGTGTTTGGCAATCTGAAAGTGAATTTAAAATATGTAAGTTACTTTTTTTTACAAATGACTTTTACATCCATGTCAACACGCAAGTGAAATACAGTGTTTGTTTGAAAAATTAAATTATTATCGAAAGTGCAATGTGAAGATGACATACGCAAGTGAAATACAGTGTTTGTTTGAAAAATTAAATTATTATCGAAAGTGCAATGTGAAGATGACATGGCAAAATAAGATTAATTAGAGAGTATAATTAAAATTATTTAATTAAATTAGTTACTTTTTTGTCACTTTCATGTGACTTCACCATTTTTTTAGGGGAAGTCAAAATTGCATTAAACCATATGTGACAACTTTCTTGCATCTCACTTTCATAACCACTTACATAAAAACAAACACCTTAATTATTAAATGAAAGTAACTTTCTCACTTTCATCTTTCACTTGCATGCAAACAAACACCTCCTATATTTAACATTCAAATTATTAACAACGAATGTATGGTTAACCAGGGATGAGTGATTACCGAATTATCAATCAATCAAAATTAACAACAAAATCCACCAAAATCAAGTCAGAAATCAGTGGATTCAATTCTACTAGAGGGACTAATTTCAAATTATTTAAAAATTGTGGCGATTAATATTGGAAAACCCCTAAATATTTACATACATTTTATTATCATGTAGTTTCCTTTGTATTTCAGATAGAATAGGATAATAGTGTTTTGATTTTCATGTAATTTTGCACTTAATGTTAGAGCTGTGAAATGTGTTTATATTTTCATGTATTTTTACAGTTTGTGATGGAATTATGAACGATATTCTTTCAATTTCATGCAAGTTTTACATTAAGCAATAGAAATCACATTTTCTATCTTTATGTACTTCTACATAGGCCTGTCCAAAAAAGCTCCAGCGCCGCGCCCCCGGGGCCGGTGGGGCCGGTCGGGGAACAGCTCCGGCCCGCGCTCGGCCTTCGGCCGGAAACCCGGGCCTACCGGGTTCCGGGCCCGATTGACGCGGCTGCTCAGCGGGCCCCACCCTGCCCGGCCTCGGAACAGCGCCGGCGCCTGGCGAAAAATCGCGGCCCGCGGCAACCCCGGGCCCGGAGTCGGCCCGGCGTTGCCAAAATAGGCCGGTGCCGGCCGGGCAGGCCTGCCCGACCCGCGGTCGGCGGCCACAACTTGGTCACCGACGATTCGACGTTCTGGTGGCCAAAACACTCGGCCGGCCAGCCCCGCGCTGCGCCGACCACACATACGTCACGGACGATGTGACTTGTGGCCCAAAACATGGCTTGGCCAAACAACGGTCTTTGACTGTTTTGTACCCAAAAACGGTCAAAAACGGCTATTTTGTTAGGTTATTTTGGCCATTTGTTTAGGGGGCTGGCTCTATAAATAGAGGAGGGTTTTCATTTGTTTTCTTCACACCAAAACTCATCTACTTCTCTCTTATACTCTTATACTCTCTTATACTCTTATACTCTCTTATACTTTCTAATCCTTTCATCAAATGGCTTCCGGATCTGATTATGAAGAGCAAAACCTATCTCCCGATCTTGAAATGAGTCCTCCTACTGGGTCTACTCCTACCGATGTTAATCCTGAATCCGGTGGCGACAAATATGCACCAAGAGCTCCTAAAAGGCCAAGATCCGATGTGTGGAATTTTTACGAGAAGATCGACGTCACCAAGGATGAACACGGTAGGATCCTCACCCAGAAGGCTAAGTGTGCGTTGTGCGGCAAGATTTTTCAGCTCATCATAAGAGCGGTACCAACCACCTCAAACGCTATTTAGAAAAACACAACAAAGGCCAGACTCCTCAAGGTGATATCCGACAATCTATGATTTCTCAATCCCCTTCTTCTGGTAGTCTCGGTAGTTGGAACTATGATGCTGTCAGAGCCAGGAAATGCGTAATCAGGTTTATCATTCTTAAAAACCTTCCTTTTAAATTAGTAGAAGATGATGAATTTGAAGATATGTTTAGAGATGGTTTTTATCCTGCATTTAAAAAAATTTCTCGTCAAACCTGTCAACGTGATATTTTAAAATATTATCAGGAGGAACAAGGAAAAATAATTTCTTATTTTAAAAATTTAAACTGTAAATTTTCTTTAACTTCTGATATTTGGACATCTAGAGCACAAACTAGATATTTATGTATCACAACATATTGGATTGATAAAAATTAGCAAATGTTTAAAATAATTGTTTCTTTTATTGCAATAGAAGAGTCACATACTGGTATTAATATTAAAAATTTAATAATTGAAGAACTTATGAAATTAGAAATTTCAGAAAGAATATTTTCTCTTTCACTAAATAATGCAAGTAATAACAATGTAGCTGTTGATTTTATAAGATCAACTCTGTCATTGCCATGTCATGGTGATCTTTTTCATATTAGGTGTATCTGTCATATTTTAAATTTAATTGTTCAAAGTGCATTTACTGAAATTAAACCCATGATAGAAAAGGTTAGAACAGTTGCTTATATGCATAATGCTTCTGAACAAAGACTTAAAAGATGGAAATAATTTTGTAAAGAAAAAATGTAAAGCCCAGACTAATTCCAAAAGATGTTGACTATAGGTGGAATTCCATGTTAGACCCTAAAGGGGGGGGGGGTGATTAGGGTCTTGTGCTAATCTAATCCGATTTTATGCCAATTAAAACTAATAACAAGTTATTCTAGCAAGTATGAAATGCAACAAGATATATGAGAGATATATCCTAGCAAAGAGGTATATGATAAAATATATGCAAGGATATATAAACTAACACAAGGGTGATATAATCAAACTACAAATGTGATAGGGCAAAATATACAAGAGTAATAGTCAATTAGCGATATAAGATAAATGCATAAGCAAATGCGCCAAAGACAAACTCAAACACACTCAAATGATCACGGAGTTCGGACCTTCCGTCCTACGTCTTCGCTCCCCACTCCCGGGGAGAAATCCACTATCATAGCCGGGTTTTCTACGCTCACCCGAATAACGTTTACACCTCACATTGTCGGTTTTCAACGCTCACCGATCAACGTTCACAAACACTCACAATGTCAATTTTCAACGTTCACCGATCAACGTCTACACTCCTCACACTCGGTTTTCTAGCTCACCGAAAACTTTACAATCTCACAATGTAACAAACAATAAATTTGTTCTCTACAATAGATGAGAACACAATGAAAGCTCACACTCAATTGTTACAACTCTCACCAACCCAAATATACTATGTATCAAAATACGATAAGCTCATATGGGTGTGTGTAACAATGAGAATAAATAAAACTTAACTCAAGAAGAACTAGCAATAAGATTGATATGAAATACAATAGTAAAAATGCTAGGAAATAGAGTTAAGGAAACTTCTCTATAAACACAAAGAGAGGATGATGATATATTGAAGATGAACTCTTCAACAACTGATGTAAGCTCCTCTTTGTAAAACCTCAAACTTAAAACAAACTAACCAAGTTTAAACCCTTATTAAACTTTTGTTTGAAAAACTTCTTTTTTCCAATGAGAACTGAGATCAATGGGGTATTTATAGCCTCCCAAAACCTCAGCCAAAAGCCCAACAGAAATGACCAAAAAACCAACAGAATCGGAAATCAGATTCTGTACAAAATGACCGTTGGAGTAAACGGCGGTCGACCGCGAGCCACTTTCGAAGCTCAGAATTTTCTAGAGACTTTTGCGGTCGACCGTAGCGGTCGACCGTGGAAAATTTTGAGCTGATGGTCGACCATGACGGTCGACCGCCAAAGTTGCTGATGGCTCCGCAGGGAAAATCAAAGGCGCGGTCGACCGTGGCGGTCGACCGTAAACTGACAAATGAGAAAAACAGGTTTGAAAGTTAATTTTCTGATTTTAAA